CGCTTCCAAAAAGGCAGGGGGCGGCGGTGATTCGCCGTAGGCGTCTTCGATCCGCCGCCCCCTGTCGATTCATCGCAGGGGTGCCTGGCGTGCTGAATCCTCTCGTGTTTTTTCTCTTCCAAAAGAACTCCCCCTGGGGCTTCGGCCCGTCCCGCCGGCCACCCGGAAAACCCGTCTGTCGTCGCCAGAAACGGCAGTTCCGTTCGGGACATCCTCAACAAATCGCGAAGATGGCCCAAGATGGCCTCTTAAGTCCGCCCAAGATGGTCCAAGACGGCCTCCAAGACGGTCCAAGAGAGTCCAAGACGGCCCAAGACGGCCCAAGAGGCCCCCCAGAGGCCTCCAAGACGGCCCAAGAGGCCTCCAAGAGGTCCTCCAGGAGGGCTCGAAAATGCCAGAATCATCGATATTCCTAAGGCTTTTGAAGGATTTTGGCATTTGCTTCTTCTCGGCATTCCGACGGCTCAAGACGGCCCAAGAGGCCCCGAAGATCGCCCAAGAGGCCCCCAAGAAGGCCTCCAAGACGGCCCAAGTGGCCTCCAAGACGGCCCCAAGAGGGCCCCAAGACGGCCCAAGAGGCTTCCAACACGCCCAAGATGGCCTCCAAGACGCCCAAGATGGCCTCCAAGACGGCCCCGAAGCGCCCCAAGAGGGCCCCCAGTCGGCCCAGAAAGGCCCCCAAGACGGCTCCCGACGGCGTCCGACGTGCCAGGAACCCACGAAGATGACCGAAGTTGGCTCGAAGCTGGCCCAAGACGGCCCAAGAGGCCCCCAAGAGGGCCTCCAGGAAGGCCAGAATAGGCCAAACATTTTGATATCCCTAAGGTTTTTGACGGATGTTGACATTTCCTTCTATTCGGCCTTCCGACGGCCCGAGACGGTCCAAGAGCCCCCAAAGATCACCGAAAGATCGCCCAAGAGGTCTCCAAGATGGCCCCAGAACGGCCCAAGAGGGCCCCACGACGGCCCCAACAGGCCCCCAAGACGGCACAGAAGGCCGTGAGACGCCCAAGATGGCCTCTAAGACGGCCGTGGAGCATTCCAAGAGGGCCCCGAGTCGGCCCAGAGAGGCCCCCCAAACGGCTTCCGACGGCGTCAGACGGACCAGGAGCCCACCAAGACGGCCGACCATGGTCCTAAGATGGCCCAAGACGACCCAAGAGGCCTCCAAGAGGTCCCCCAGGAAGGCCCGAAAAGGCCCAAATCATTGATTTCCCATGAGTTTTTGAAGGATTGTGGCATTTCCTTTTTTCTGCCTTCCGACGGCCCGAGACGGCCTAAGTGTCCCCAAAGATCGCCCGAAGAGGCCCAAGACGGCCCCAAGAGGCCCCCAAGTCGGCCCAAGAGGCTTCCAAGACGCTCAAGATGGCCTCCAAGACGGTCCAAAAGCCATCCAAGACGTCCCCCAAGAAGGCCCGAAGGGTCAAAATGGCTTCCAGACGGCCAAGATGACCTTCAAGATGCCCACGTGTTCCCCGAAGGCTTTCCAAACCGATTCGGGGAACACATGGTCCGATAGCTTGGCAGGTCTGGCCTCAACGGTCGGCCACATAGGCGCTTCCAAAAAGGCAGGGGGCGGCGGTGATTCGCCGTAGGGGTCTTCGATCCGCCGCCCCCTGTCGATTCATCGCAGGGGTGCCTGGCCTTTCTGGACCCTTTCGGTTTTGGTTTTTCCAAAAGAACTCCCCCTGTGATTTCGGCCCGTCCCGCCGGCCACCCGGAAGGTCCGCAATTTTCGTTTTTTGGTTCAAGACTGCCCAAGATGGCCTCCAAGATGGCCACGTTGGCCCAAGATGGCCTCCAAGATGGTCCAAGATGGCCTCCAAGTCCGCCCAAGATGGTCCAAGACGGCCTCCCATACGGCCCAAGAGAGTCCAAGACGGCCCAAGAGGGCCCAAGTGGCCTCCCAAGACGGCCCAAGAGGCCGCCAAGAGGTCCTCCAGGAGGGCCCGAAGAGGCCAACATCATTGATTGTCCTTCGGTTTTTGAAGGATTGTCGCATTCGCTTCTTCTCGGCTCTCCGACGACCCAAGACGGCCCAAGAGGCCCCCAAGATCGCCCCCACAGCGCCCAAGAGGCCTCCAAGATGGCCTCAAGACTGCCCAAGAGGCCTCCAAGACGGCCCCAAGAGGGCACAAAGACGACCCAAGAGGCCTCCAAGACGCCCAAGATGGCCTTTAAGACGGCCCTGGAGCACCCCAAGAGGGCCCCAAGTCGGCCCATAAAGGCGCCCCAAACGGCTTCCGACGGCGTCAGACGGGCCAGGAGCCCACCAAGACGGCCGAAGTTGGCTCGAAGCTGGCTCAAGATAGCCCAAGAGGCCTCCAAGAGGGCCTCCAGGAAGGCCAGAAAAAGGCCTTACACATTGATTTGCCATAGGTTTGCGAAAGATTTGTACACTTGCTTCGTTTCGGCCTTCCGACGGCCCGATACGGCCCAAGAGCCCCCAATGATCGCCCAAGGATCGCACAAGAGGCCTCCAAGATGGCCCCCCAAGACGGCCCCAAGAGGCCCCCAAGACGGCCCTGGAGGCTTCTAAGACGCCCAAGATGGCCTCCAAGACGGCCCTGGAGCATTCCAAGAGGGCCCCAAGTCGGCTCAGAGAGGCCCCCCAAACGGCTTCCGACGGCGTCGGACGGGCCAGGGGCCCACCAAGACTGCCGAAGATTGCACTAATATGGCCCAAGAGGCCTCCAAGCGGGCCTCCAAGAAGGCCAGGCAAAATCACCAACTCATTGATTTCCCAAGAGTTTTTGAAGGATTTTGGCATTTGCTTTTTCCCAACCATCCTGTGGTGTTGGGTCTTCGCTTTGAAGAGACGGTGCCCCGCGTTCCTCTCCTCTCCTCTCCTCCTCCCCCTCCTCCTTCCTCCTCCCTCCCCCCTCCTTGCCTCTGCCTTCCACATGTCCATTCCAACGCGCCCCTCACGCGTTTCGTGACCCCATAGGAGCTCCACCGAATGCCCCAATGGCGGTGTCCACATGCGTCCGCGCCACCCATTTCGGCTCACCCCTCACACGTTTTGTCGCCCCATAGGGAGCTCCACCGAAGGCCCCAGTGGCGGTGTCCACATGCGTCCGCGCCACCCATTTCGGCGCACCCCTCACACGTTTCGTGGAACCATAGGGAGCTCCACCGAAGGCCCCAGTGGCGGTGTCCACATGCGTCCGCGCCGCCCATTTCGGCACACCCCTTACACGTTTCGTGGCCCCAGAGGGAGCTCAACCGAATGCCCCAATGGCGGTGTCCACATGCGTCCGCGCCACCCATTTCGGCGCACCCCTCACACGATCCGTGCCCCCTTAGAGAGCTCCACCGAAGGCCCCAGTGGCAGTGTCCACATGCGTCCGCGCCATAAGTTTCGGCGCAACCCTCGCACGTTTCGTGGAACCCTAGGGAGCTCCACCGAAGGCCCCAATAGCGGTGTCCACATGCGTCCGCGCCACTCATGTCGGCGCACCTGTCACAGGCTTCGTGGCCCCATAGGGGGCTCCACCGAAGGCCCCAGTGGCGGTGTCCACATGCGTCCGCGCCATCCATTTCGGCGCACCCCTCACACGTTTCGTGGAACCATAGGGAGCTCCACCGAAGGCCCCAGTGGCGGTGTCCACATGCGTCCGCGCCATAAGTTTCGGCGCAACCCTCGCACGTTTCGTGGAACCCTAGGGAGCTCCACCGAAGGCCCCAATAGCGGTGTCCACATGCGTCCGCGCCACTCATGTCGGCGCACCTGTCACAGGCTTCGTGGCCCCATAGGGGGCTCCACCGAAGGCCCCAGTGGCGGTGTCCACATGCGTCTGCGCCACCCATTTCGGCACACCCCTCGCACGTTTCGTGGCCCAATAGGGGGCTCCACCGAAGGCCCCCACGACGGTGTCCACATGCGGCCGCGCCACCCAATTCGGCGCACCCCTCACGCGTTTCGTGGCCCCACAGTGGGCTCCACCGAAGGCCCTAACGGCGGTGTCCACATGTGTCCGCGCCCTCAGTTTCGGCGCACCCCTCACACGATTCGTGGCCCCATACAGAGCTCCACCGATGACTGTATTCACAACTGCAGCACTCTCAACTGCATCTGGTTGGGTCCTTCGCCAGGCTAATTTTCGGCCTTCGACGGTCCGGGACTGCCCAAGTGCCCCCAAAGATCGCCCACGGCCCCAAGAGGCCCCCAAGACGGCCGAAGAGGCCTCCAAGACGCTCAAGATGGCCTCCAAGACGGCCCAAGAGCCTTCCAAGACGTCCTCCAAGAAGGCCCGAAAGGGTCAACATGGCATCCAGGCGGCCAATGTGACCTTTAAGATGCCCACGTGTTCCCCGAAGGCTCTCCAAACCGATTCGGGGAACACATGGTCCGATGGCTTGGCAGGTCTGGCCTCGACGTTCGGCCACATAGGCGCTTCCACAAAGGCAGGGGGCGGCGGTGATTCGCCGTACGGTAGGTTTGCGTCGTGTCGACCAGCGGCGACCCCAGCGCGGGCGTTCAAGGTTGAACGCCGCCGGCGACCCAGAATCGATCGATGTTGAACGATCGGACGTTGCGGCAGCGGCCGACCGTTCAAGGTTGAACGATCCCTGCTGTGTCAAAAACCAACGCTGGGGTCGGCACGACACGAACCTGCCGTAGGCGTCTTCGACCCGCCGCTCCCTGTTGCTCTTGTCACAGGGGTGCCTGGCCAGGGAGCTGCAGCGCAATCCGACAGGACTGGCAGGAGAGGCGGGCTGCCAGAGGTGGCGCGAGCGCACCTGGCTTGCCTCCTTTCTCTCTCCTCCCCCCTCTCCCTCCCTGCCCTCCCTCCCTGCCCTCCCTCCCTCTCTCTCCCCCCTGCTCCTCCCTCCTCTCTTCCTCCCCTCCTCCTCCCTCGCTCTCCCACCACCCCCCGCCCCTTCCCTCTTCTTCCTCCCTTCTTCCCTCCCTCCCTCCCTCCTTCCTTCCCCCCTCTCCCCCTCATGGTCGCCGACCTGCAGGACGCCCCTGGCCCCCGGGCTAGTCCTCCCCTGAGGTGCCCGAGAAGAGCGGGTCGCATTTCATCGGGCAGCGCGGGGAGAGGATCAAGGGTCTGATCGAGGCTGGGCGCGCGCCATGCCCGCGCGCGCCAACGCGGCATGCAGCGCGACTCGAGCACACATGAGCATGGGAAGGAGATATGATTATGCTGCTGCTGATGATGCTGATGATGATGCTGCTGCTGATGATGGTGCTGATGATGATGCTGGTGACGATGCTGATGATGGTGCTGCTAATGATGATGATGGAGATGAGAATGTTGTTGCTGCAGATGATGATGATGATGATGATGATGATGATGATGATGATGATGATGATGGTGGTGGTGGTGGTGGTGGTGGTGATGATGATGAGGGTGAGGGTGAGGGTGATGGTGATGATGATGCTTATGCTGATGATGAGGATGTGGATGGTGATGATGATCGTACTGGTGATGATCGTGATGTTGGTGGTGATGATGATGACGATGGTAATGCTGCTTAGGCTGATGCTGCTGATGACGATGATGCTGATGAAAATGATGGTGATGATGATGGTGATGCTGATGACGGTGATGATGATGATGATGATGATGATGATGATGATGATGCTAATGTTGATGATGAGGATGTGGATGGTGATGATTGATGATCGTACTGGTGATGATGCTGATGTTGGTGGTGGTGATGATGATGACGATGCTAATGCTGCTTAGGCTGATGCTGCTGATGAAGGTGATGCTGATGATGCTGATGATGATGATGGTGATGCTGATGATGGTGATGATGATGATGGTGATGATGCTTGTGTTGATGATGAGGAGGATGGTGATGATGATGGTGGTGGTGGTGATGGTGGTGAGGTGTTGGTGGTGATGACAATGTTGCTCATTATGCTGCTGCCGATGATGACGATTGCGACGATGATGATGATGCTCGAGGTGGTAGTGTTGCCGGTGATGATGCTGCTGATGATCGTGATGGCGATGGCGGTGTTGGCTGTGATGATGCTGATGCCAATGGCGGTGAACATGATGGCTATGGTGGTGATGCCGGCATTGATGCCGATATGTATGCGTTTGATGATGGTGATGTTGCTCATGTTGGCGATGGAGATGACGTTGATGATTATGATGATGATGGTGATGACGATGACAATGATGATGATGTTGATGAAACTGATGATGATGATGCTGATGATGATGATGATGATGATGATGATGATAATGCTGATCATGAGGATGACGATTATGATGATGATGACGAGGATGATGATGCTGTTGATGATCATGGTGGTGCTGATGATAATGATGCTGACGACGATGATGATGATGATGATGATGATGATGATGATGCTGATGCTGATGCTGATGCTGATGAAGGTGATGCTGATGCTGACGATGATGATGAGAGTATGATGACGACGCCCCTGGTGCTGAGTATGGTTGTGGTGCTGGTGGTGACGACGGTAATGCTGAAGATGTTGATGACTATACCGATGACGACGACGACGTCGATGATGCTAATTATGATGGTGATGGTGATGGCGATGAGGATGAGTTTGATGAAGGCGAGGACGATGTTGGTGGTGATGCTGATGCTGACGATGATGATGATGCTGGTAGTGGTGATGACATGCATCGGGTGATGATGATGTTGCTGATGCTGATTATGATTAGGTGACGATGAGGATGGCGCTGGTGATGATGATAGTCATGCTGGTGGTGCTGGCGATGATTGGTTATGGTGGTGATGACCAGGATGAGGGATACGACGACGAACACGATAATGATGATGCTGATGATGGGGATACCGATGATGATGCCTATGATGCCGATGAGGATTCTGATGGTGGAGGTTGATGTGATGCTTGTGATGATGCTGATGGTGCTGCTGAGGTTGCTGCTAATCATGATGATGCTGATGATGATGCTGCCGCTGCTGATGATGGTGATGGTGATGATGCTGATGATGATGCTGGCGAAGTTGTTGTTGATGGTGATGGCGATACCTATGGCGACGATGGTGACGACGATGACGACGATGAGGATTATGATGATAATGACGCTGACGATGTTGATGATGATGGTGATGATGTTGATGATGATGATGCTGATGATGATTGTGATGTTGATGCCCATGCTGCTGATGATGTTGATCATGAGGATGATGACTATGATGATGGTGACTCTGATAAAACATGATGGCGGTGGTGGTGATGATGGTGAGGATGGTGGTGATGATGATGCTGCTGCTGATGATGATGATGATGATGATGCGAGGGTGATGGGTGATGCTGCTTATGACAATGATTGTGCTAGTTGCGGTGAGTTCGGTCTTTAAGACGTGATGGTGACGACGCCGATGATGAGGGATACGACGACGACGGCGATACTGATGCTGATGATGATGCTGCTGATGATTATGATGATTACGTTGATCATGGTGATGACGATGGTGGTCGTGGTGTTGTGGTGGTGGTGGTGGCGGTGATGCTCATGCTGCTCATCCTGATGCTGCTGATGATGCCGATCGTGACGATGATGTTGTTGGTGGTGGTGCTGCTGCTGATGATGGTATTGGCGATGGCTGTGCTAAGTGTGCTGATGTTAATGCTGATGGTGGTTACTATGATGGACATGCTGGTGATGGTGAGGATGTTGATGATAGCGACGCCGATGACAAGTCTGCGGATGATGACGATGCTCATATCTGCGGCAGAGCTGACGTTGATGATGACGATGACGATGACGATGACGATGACGATGTTGATGATGATGATGATGATGATGATGCTGATGCTGATGCTGATGCTGCTGATGATGATAATGCTGTTGCCGATAACACTAACATCATAAACATAGTAATAGTAAGAACAATATCGCTGATGCTGCTGCTGCCGTTCAACTACGGCACCGCTGGTGCTGAGGATGGCTGTTGTGGTGGTGGTGACGATGGTCATGCTGAAGATGTTGATGACTACACCGATGACGACGGCGACGCCGATGCTGCTGATTATGACGGTGATGGTGATGATGATGAGGATGAGTTTGATGAAGGCGAGGACGATGATGGTGGTGATGCTGATGCTGACGATGATGATGATGCTGGTGGTGGTGATGACATGCATCGGGTGATGATGATAATGCTGATGCTGATTATGATTGCGCTTGTGCTGGTGACGATGAGGATGGCGCTGATGATGATGATAGTCATGCTGGTGATGCTGGCGATGATTGGTTCTGGTGATGATGACGAGGATGAGGGATACGACGACGAGCACGATGATGATGATGCTGATGGTGCTGCTGAGGTTGCTTCTAATCATGATGATGCTGATGATGATTCTCTTGCTGCTGATGATGGTGATGGTGATGGTGCTGATGATGATGATGCCGGTGAGGTTGTTGTTGATGGTGATGATGATAATCATGATGACGGTGAAGATGATTATGATGATCACGATGATGCTGCCGAGGTTGATGTTGGTGTTGATGATGATGCAGATCGTGATGATGATCATGGTGACGAGCGTGAGGATGATGGTGGTGATGATGATGCTGATGATGATGACGATCAATATGTTGCTGATGCTGTTGCTGCTGATGCTGATGGTGGTGATGATGATGATGCTGATGATGATTGTGATAATGATGATGATGCTGATAGCGATGATGATAGTTATAGCGCGGAGGAGTAGGATGAGGAGGAGGGTGGATGTGGATGAGGATGAGGAGGAGGTGGAGGAGGGAGGGAGGGAGTGACAGAGGGAGGAAGGGAGGGAGGGGGACGGGGAGGAAGGAGGGGGAGGAAGAGTGGGACAGGAGCGATGAAAGAGGACTCAGGATGAAGATTGAACGAGTGAATGAGTGAGTGAGCGAGGGAGGGAGGGAAGGAAGGATGAGGCGAAGGAGGGGGTTACATGGGGAGGGTGAGTTTTGGGGGATGTGACGATGGGTGCATCAGGAGGAGAGGGGGGAGGACGGTAAATACAACTGTGCGCAGCATGCGCGGCGAGGAGACCGGCTGCGACATCTTCATCGGCAAGGCTTGCTGATGGGGATGGAAGGAGAAGGTCCTCGAGCACATTGCAGCACGTGTGAGCTTAGCGGAGGGGTGAAGAAGAGGAGGAGCGGCATGGGCTGAAGGACGAGGATGATGAGGATGGTGCCTACAGGAAGCACACCAAATAAGAAACTTGCCTGCCAGACAGTGCGCCGCGGAGACTTTTCTTCACCCGTTTGCCCCATGGACTCGCAGAGATCCGTGACCACCTTCAGACCTGACGACAAATATGCTCCTAGATTTCCTGTGACAATCAGGGGATAGGCCAAGGGAGGAAAGTGGAGGATGATGATGCTGATAGGAAGATGAGGCTGGGGAGGGGGAGGGATAGGAATACGCTGATGGTGATGATGACGATGACAATGATGATTATGATGGTGATGAGGAGGATGAGGATGAGGAGAAGAAGGATATTGCTGAAGAGAAGGGATGGGAAGGAGGAACGCGAGGAACATCAGGAGGATGGATGAATTTGAGGGAGGAGTAGGGGGGGTAAGAGAAGGATTATGGTGATGCTCATGCTGATGTTGATGCGGCTGATGATGCTGATGATGTTGATGATGGTGTGATGATTGCGGCGGTGGTAGTGATGATGATGATGATGATGATGATGATGATGATGATAATGATGATGATGATGATGATGATGATGGTGATGCTGCTGCTGATGCTCATGATGATATTAATTATGTTTTTGGTGATGGTGGCGATGAGGCTGACGATGACGATGGCGATGATCATGATCATGATAATGGTGACGATGATGATGATTATGATGACGATGATGAGCTTGCGTATGCTGATGCTGCTGATGATGATGTAGTTGCTGATGATGACCATGGCGGTGATGATGCTGCTGCTGATGCTGCTGATGATGCCGATGATTATGCTGCTGATGATGGTGATGGTGGTGGTGATGATGATGCTGGCGAGGATAATGATGATGACGATGATGATGATACTGATGCTGATGCTGATGCTGATGATGACGATGATGATGATGATGATGCTGATGATGACGCCGACGATCATGTTGCCGATGTCGATGGTGGCGTTGATGATGCTGATGGCGATGATGATTATGGTGACGATCGTGAGGATGATGATGGTGGAAATGCTGCTGATGATGATGGCGCTGAGTATGTTGATGGTGCTGACGATGCTGCTGCGGATGATGATGCTAACGATGATGATGCTGCTGATGATGATGATGGTGATGGTGATGGTGATGATGATGATGATGATGCTGCTGATGCTGATGATGATCATGGTAATGGTGATGACGATGATGACCATGCTGACGCTGATGATGCTGCTCCTTATGATGCTTGTGAGGATGAGGCAGTTGATGTTTGTGACGATGTGTATGATCGTGGTGAAGAGGAGGAGGAGACGGAGCAGGAGCAGGAGGGGTAGGGGTAGCAGGAGGATGAAGAGTAGGCGCAGGGAGCGGGGAGGTTGTCTATGGATTGGAAAGCAGGGGGGGGAGTGAGCATGCAGGAGGGGGAGGAGGCGAGGCGAGGCGAGCGCCGACGTCGCTCCGCGCATGCGCGGGGAGCGCCTCCGACAGAGGACGGCGGGGGGGCTGTAGCCCCTCAGGGGTTGTCGGTCCATCTTGTTCTTGGCCTGTGTTGTCTTCCGGGTCCCATACGTATGCCTTGTAACTCCATTGGGCCAGGTTGTCGTCGGTGATGCTGTGTGCCCATTCTAACTACCTTTTTCCCGTCATGTGTCAGCCCAGCTCTCATCGCCCATTTTCGCAAAGGACTGTTCTGCCATGGAGCAAGTACATCGTACCCACTCCACCCAATACTCCATACCACTGTCGGTGTTGCCATTGCTGGCGTCGGTGCGTCGTTTCCGCGGCGAACCTATGATCATACGCAGCATACGGCGCTGGGTTGAACGGATTCGTTGTTCCAGACTGGCTGTCGCAGTTCATGATCCATGACACATCCGTAAAGCATAGTTGATGTCACCGTACCATGAAAGAGTCTGAATTTGTCGCGCAGCGGATACGCTCGAGAGCGCGCAATCCATCTTTGAAGCACCAGCACTTTTCCAAGCGGCTTGGATACGGGCGTCGATTTCTACTTTCGCTGGGTTGCAGAAAGCCAGCTGTCGTCCCAAACATTCCTGTGTGTCTTTGTATGCCAGACTTTCGATATCGACTTCTGCCACTGTTGTGTGTTCTGGCGTCTTCTATGAATGTCGTGCCTCCTACTTGTGAAGAATATTCCTCTCCTGCGGGTGCAGCTCTAAGCCTGTGCGACCAGCGGCCTCCATGATGTCTTGCAGCATCCAGCGTACTTGTGTCAGCGATGTCCCGAGGAGCAGGATGTTGTCAACAAATCGCAGACTCGTGAGACGCACCCTGTTGAGATTGCTCCGTAATAGGCTATGTTTTCTTTTTGCCCACTTGGCTCGGCATTATTTGAATATTTCCTCCGACAGGCAGTCGACAAGCAGCGCGCTGAGGGGGTCTCTGTGTTTCGTCCCGCGCCCAATGGTAGACACTCTACTTTCCACGTCCGTTTTAACAACACCGGTTTGGTTTTTATACATACTGGGAATGAGCTCAATGTAGCCTTTGGGTGCACCTTGTGATGACATGGCTGCCCACAGTGACTTGTGCGATATTGCATCGAACGCCTTTTCAAAATCCAGTGTGGCAGCCCAGGCAGGGATTTGTTATTTCCATGTTTTGTCTTGCATAATTGTCAGTGCACACAGATGGTCATCTACCTGTCCGGAAGCTGGCCTGCTCTGGAGGTTGGTGCCTTTCCAGAATGGGTTCCAGCCTGTTGCACAACACACGTGAGAAGAGCTTGTACCTCAAAGTTGTGACAGAAATCGAGCGGTAGTTCCGGGGCAGGACGTGTCCCCAGGAGTCGTATATTTTTACTTGCGTTTTCTCCACTCTTACGGCGTGCACGCTCCCTGCTTGATGACGTCACTGCAGAGGCTCAACAGCGTGGTCCGGAAGGCACGGCCACCGTGCTTGAGCATCTCTGCGACTATGCCTGTCGTGTCTGCTGCTGGGCCGACCTTGAGCTCTGTCAGCCCTGCATCCAGTTCCTCCAGGGTGAACTGGGGGATTGGCTCGTCACTCGGCACGTGTGTTCCCACAGTATCTTGAAGATCTCCGTCAGCGCAAGCATACAGATCCTCGTACAAATCAGCGAAGGCGTTCGCCATCTCACACGCTGGTCGTGCGCAATCTCCCACTCTTGTTGCGCATCGAAGAAAGAAGCCCTTGCTTTTTACTCGTTGTGTGCAACTTTTGCAGGAGGGGGAGGAGGAAGAGGAAGGGGAGGAGGAGGAGGACCAGGATGAGGACCAGTGTAAACCCAAGACGCATCAACGACGTTGCAATAAACCCTCCCTCCAACTTCCCTCTTCACAGCCCCCATACAACAATGTACTTTTATCATGGGAGGTTGCTCATTAGAGCACAACCGTCTGAGAACCGTGAACCGTGCGAAAACACAATTCCTGGGACAATGCCGCGGATCAGCGTGACCGCTGCGCACTAGCAATCTCAAGACTGTGCCTGAACAGCATGCATTGGTCTTCAGCGCCGCGAATCAAGGTCACTGTCGCGTCCTGGCCATCCTAAGTCGTGCCCGAACACCGTTCCTGGGTCTTGAGCCATACGAGCCTTTGAAACAGTCACGAGCTTTTGAAACAAGAGCGGGCGGCGCTAAGGCGATAGCCACACTTTGAACAGGACCTGTTCTCCGTACATCTACGGCCACAAAATTGTAAAACGAATGCGCGCGGCGCTGAAGCGAGAACCACGTGAAAACAACAATCGCCTTCCATCGGTGAAACCGCTGCAAACATTTCAGACTAAGTTGCGCGGCGCCAAGGCGAGAGTCACACATTGAAATCCACCTCCCCTCCATCATTGACGCTGCTGCAAATTTCAAGCCTGAGGATCAGAAGGGTTGAGGGGGTCTCTGGCGAAACGCCCCGCCCGCCTTGTCAACACGTCTGGGATGGAGGCGAGGGCCGCGCCCATTCTTGGAGATAAAGCCCGCAGCTCAAAGTTCGAAACAGGAAGAGCAGGAGGAGGAGGAGGAGGAGGAGGAGGAGGAGGAGGAGGAGGAGGAGCAGGAGCAGGAGCAGGAGGAGCAGGAGGAGCAGGACGAGGAGAAGGATGAGGAGGAGAAGCAGGAGGGAGAGGAGGAGGAGGAGGAGGAGGAGGAGGAGGAGGAGGAGGAGGAGGTGGTGGTGGACGGCCTTGAAGGCAGGTCCAGAGTCAGAAGAGCTCGCCGTCGGAGGCTTCAGACTCACCGTCTGAACCGCCCACGGCCCGACACTGCCCGAGTTCCTTCACCCTCGGCAGCTCAGACTCCAGAATCCCAAAGGCCGCAAGCACCGAATCTTGCGAGGGCAGTCCTGGACTAAAACCATCAGCAGCAGACGAGCTCGAGCTCGCCGCCACTGCTTCACATGAATCCACTAATCCCTCGATCTCGACCTGTTCCTGGGAGCTCAACGGGCCAGAGGGACCGAGCACGCGGGATTTCGTGGTGACACGATAGTGTGGGTGCTTTCCAGCTCGGAGCCGATTCAGCTGGGTCCTGATCCCTGGGCTGGCGGGCTTCCCGAGACACCGCTCCAGGAGGGTGCGGCCCAGACGCCCCGACGTGTAGCCCCCACACCGAAAACAGAAAACCACTTTGTCGCCTATCTTAGAAGGCGTCACAATCGAGCATCGGACTAAAGCATGCCGTCTAAAGTAGAACGCGACTCGGGCCTCGTCGGCCCAGCATGTATCCACTCCTTCCTCCGCACCACCGACACTCGACGGACCGACAACCTCCTCCTCCTCATCGGCGAGTTCGGGAGGGGGCGTGGGCTCGGCAGGCAGCTCCTGGTCAGGACTCTGCAGCCCGACCGTGTCCTGCCTGCTCTGGCCGCTGGTGGCCATCAAAACTTCCAGCCTACCCGCCCACCTCCCTTGTTCGGCCACCAGGGCCTTGAAACCTCTAAAAAGTTGTGCATGGGAGTCATCAACTCCATGCATCCTTGCCCCTAGCTTCGCATACAGATCCGCACTCGAGTTGGCCTTTTTCTCCCAGACCGTGGTGCGACCAGCTTCAATGGCATTCCTGGAAGCATGGGCCAGAGTCTTGTGGGCCTGGATGTCGCATCCCTCGAAGGCGGCCCAGAACGGGCTCCACATGTGGCCTCTCGGGGACCTCGCTTCAGCCCCCGACCCTGGGCCTCCGAGCAAGGTGTCTAGAGTGGCCTTGCAATCTAGATACAGCTCAAACGGAGCGATGCCAACTTGTGTGAGCATGTAAATGGCGAAGTCTTCGCCATCTTTGGCCGTCTGGCGGGGGCCGAAGCTGAGCGGCACAGGACAGTAAGCAGCATGCAGCACATTTCCCAGCCGATCTACCTGCACGAGAGCCCATCCCGCTCTGCAGACTCCTGGAAGAGAGGGCCACAAGGCCGAACCGTCGCTAAAGATGCACCCCGAGAGGAATCCACTGGCGGGCTTATTCACCCACCTGATCGTGGTCTCTGGCTCTACACGCGGAATAAAGTCCAAGAGGCTGGCCATCACACATTTCGCAAACCGCTCCCCAACGTCCTCCCCACCGTCCAAGGCACGCCGAGCACGGACAGCCAGCCAGGGGGAAACAGCATCCCTTCTGACGCTGCTGTGTGCTGCACATTCGTACTGCCTGTGCCACAGCGTCCCCCGAGCCACCTTACAAAGTTGACAGACATCAGAGCTGTGCAGCCCGTGCCCATACACTCTGGCCTGCGGCCAATGCACATTGCACACTAGCGAGCGCAGCGCCCGCTGGTGATGGGCCGTCCAGTCTTTGGTTTTGCCCCTGAGGAGCGTCCCAAGGCCGGTCCAAAACACAGGAAAAACACCATCGAGCCTCTGAGGGCCCTCGCCCCCAAGGCGCCCCACACTTTCCAACGCAAGCCTGTCGGAGGCTCTGGTAGCCCCCTCGTGCACTAGTTCCCTGACCTCACAGGGCGAGAGCTGGCTGAGGTTCCAGACCGAACCTAAATCATCGCGGAGCCTGGTGCTGGTTAAAAACCTCCAGCCGATCCTGTCCAGGGAGAAGCAAACAACGTCCGCAGGCGACGAGGCGACCCTCCAGGGGTGGCGGCAACGCGCCAGTTTTTCAATAGCCGCATCCATCGTCGCCCCCAGGATCAGCAGGAGGAGGAGGAGGAGGAGGAGGGGGAGGGGGAGGGGCAAGCTAGGTGAACTAGCGTCACATCTGACGTCCCACCCCTTCCTCCCATCCCTTACCATGCCGTAGATCTCCTATCTATTCGCACAGTCGGAATGTAGAGCAGGGCAATGATCTGAAGAGGGTGCGCGATGGATGGAAAACCATGGCGAAGAGGAGCACGGCAGAGTACAGTGTGTCATAGCATGGCTTGGCATTGCGTTGTGAAGCATGGCATCACACATCATAGCAACGCAAAGCATGGCATCGCACAGCGGTGCACAGCACAGCATCGCACTGCATGCCGTGGCATGGCACCGGATGACGTGCCGAGGACCGAACACGGGAACGAGGCCACCGCTGCAGCGGGAGCACGATCTGGAAGGACCGCAGCACTGGAACGAGGCCAGCTCTGCCGCGACAGCGCTGCTTGAAAGGGCCGAGAGCACGCCGGTGCTGCTGCGGGAGTGCAGTGTGGAACAGCCGGGGGCAGGGGAGCGAGGCCACCGCGCTGCGGCGGGAGCACGGTGTCGAGTGGCCAAGGCGTGGACATGAGGGCGGCGCTGCGGCGGGAGCGCCATTTTGGAGGGACCAGTGGAAGATTGAGGCAACCACACAGGAACCAAACAGTGGTATCCTGCGGGTGAGAAAAAGCAATGCGCGAGGAGGACGGGAGGCTCTCCGGACAGAGTCCGGGGAGAGAGGAGAGTAGTGTTCATCTTGTGTGATTGTGGAGGGGGAGGGGATGGAGGAGGAGGAGGAGGAGAAGGAGGAGGAGAATCAGTCGCCGCGTCGGCGAGGACCCCATGCCAGGCCTGGCCGACCAGAAGAAGGTCCGCGTCACGGGCGCCTCGGTCGGGGAGGCTGCCGCGGCCGTCTGGAGGTGCCCTCCGCGGGGGGCAGGTGAGGTGGTCCGCGGGAGGGGGGAGCGGAGAGGCGGGAAGGGGGAGGGAGGGGCGGTGCGGGAGGGGGGGCGAGGGAGCGGAGTGGGTTGGGGGGGGGGAGGGACATGGAGGAGTCGGATGGGGGTAGTTGGAGGGAGGCGAGGGAGGTGGTCCGCCGAAGGGGGGAGCGGAGAGGCGGGAGGGGGAGGGACGGTGCGGGAGGGGGGCGAGGGAGCGGAATGGTCGACTACACGTAAGAGTGACCTTTCGCCGGAGGGACCTTTTGGTGCGGGCACGATGGGATCCCCCGATCACCGATTGCGATGCGATAGTAGCGCCTTGCGCGCCCGAGTTTGGTACCCCCGCGGCCCCCCAAAAGCCGCGCACCAAAGGTCACTCTTACGCAGGGTCACTCTTGCGTGGAGCCGAAATTGGTGGGGGGGAGGGGAATGGAGGAGTCGGAGGGGGGTAGTTGGAGGGAGGTGAAGGGGGGAGGGGGCCAAAAGGTGTGGAGAGGGCGGGGGGTGAGGGGATAGTCAAATTAGCCAGGTCGAACGAGTCAGCGGGAGGAGGAGGAGGAGGAGGAGGAGGAGGAGGACGAGGACGAGGATGATGATGAGGAGGAGGAGGAGGAATAATCATAATAATAATATCAGTAGTAATAATAATAGTAATAATAATACTACTACTACTACTAACAATACTAACAACTACTACTACTACTACTACTACTACTACTACTACTACTACTACTACTACTACTACTACTACTACTACTACTACTACTACTACTACTACTACTACTACTACTACTACTACTACTACTACTACTACTACTACTACTACTACTACTACTACTACTACTACTACTACTACTACTACTACTACTACTACTACTACTGCTACTACTACTACTACTACTACTACTACTACTACTACGACTACTGCTACTACTACTACTACTACTACTACTACTACTACTACTACTGTTAATAATAAAAGTAAGAATAGCACTAATAGTAATACTACGAATAATACCACTACTAATATCAATACTAACAATAATATGCAGAAGCGTGAAAGCATAGTACTAATGGGACAAGTATGACTAATACGAGTACGCATGGCACTAGTAATATTTTTAAGAAAGACACGCATAAGAGGACGACTCCCGGTACTAAGATGCATACTAATACTCATCGCATTCGTATTACTAACTCTTACTACTAAGCAGACGACTGCAAATACGCACACTACTAACAATGCGAATGCTAACCCACATGATGAGAGAGTCGGACGACTAATATAATGCTACCACTCGTACTAAGAGAAATACCATACAGACGAACACGAATACTAATCATACGATTCGGATAATAATAAATACGCTCACGGAGAGGAGGACGAGGAGGAGGAGGAGGATGAGGATGAGGGGGAAGAGGAGGCAATCAGAGGAGGAGGCAGGAGTTGGCGGAGGAGGAGGAGGAGGAGGAGAGGAGGAGGAGGAGGAGGAGGAGGAAGAGGGGCAGGAGAGGAGGGGCGGAGGAGGAGGCGGCAGGAGGAGGAGGAGGAGAAGGAGGAGGAGCAGGAGGGGCAGGAGGAGGAGGCGGCAGGAGGATAGGAGTAGGAGTAGGAGTAGGAGTAGGAGGAGGAGGAGGAGGAGGAGGAGGAGGGAGGAGGAGGAGGAGGAGAGGAGGAGAGGAGGGGGGGGGGGGAGGAGGGGGAGAGGGGAGGGCGCAGGAGGGAGGAGTAGGCTGATGAGGGGGATGGGGGAGGAGGGCGCGGAGGGAGGAAGAGAGGGAGGAGGAGGGAGCGCAGGAGCATCGCCGGCCACCTTCCCCCCCCCCTCCTTCCCCCGGAAAAGGCTCCAGGAGGTGCTGGCCGAGCTCGCGGGCGGCGGCGTGCTGCGGCCCGAGCACTTCGAGCTGCGGGAGGGCGCCGCCGGGGGCGGCGCTCCTGGCGGCCCCGCGGCAGGCTGGGCTGCGGGGGGTCTCCTCTCCCCTCCATCCTCCCTCCTCTATCCTTCATCCTACATCCTCCCTCCTCCTTCTCCTCCTCCTCCTCCTCCTCCTCCTCCTCCTTCCTCTTCCTCCTCCTCCTCCTCCTTCCTCCTAGCCGCCGTCTCCTGCTCTAGCCCCATCTGTCGCGGCCCAGCAGGCACCCCACGCAGAGCAGCTTCCGCTCCCAGGGCACCTGCATGCCATGCCAGCGCGGCTGGCCATCCATATTTCATCTCTCGCGATCTTCTGGATGACATTCCCGAGCTGGGGAGTGTACAACCCGCTCAGCACGGGTGCGGCACCGAGAAGCTTGGAGAGGTCGAGACAGTTCAGCGCAGGCGACGTCCTCACGTTACCAGCCACTCGTTGGCGGCAGCGCGCAGCCCGCCCCGCCGACCAGCTCCAGACCTACCAGCACCGCATCGTCACGAGGGGCTACGGCAGCGGTTCCTTCACCAACAATCACGAGGGCGTGGCCAACACCATCAGCAACCGCTACTGCATCAAGTGTGTGACCGCGCTCCCCCGCCCGCCGCCGAGCATTCAAGGACGCGCTGGAGCAGTTCGCCCCCGTCGCGGAGGACTTGACTCGAATTCCATTGCTGCGTCGCTACCACCACGGTCAGGGCCCGCCAAGCACCACAAAGCTCGAATCAAGAAGACCAACGAGAAGCTCAAGCGGATCTACCAGACCCAGAGCGCGACGCCCACCTGGAGCACGCCGATCATCGGCCCAGACCTGAACGACCATGACGGCCAGGAAGGATTGCTTCCCGATGCGCCCAGCTACGCGAGCGGCGACGCAGGCCCTACAGGAGTACATGGAGAGACCTCCGCTGCCTCCCACCTCGTGCCCGACGTGCACGGCAGGTACTTTTTCTGGAATGCGGGGCCCCTGTACATCGGAGCCCATGGACAGGCCACACGTCCCGACTACACCGCATTGCCCCGCGGGCTATGCTCCCACACTACTTCTTGCAGAATCCGAAGGCGAACGGCCAAGGCACCTCAACTCATCAATGACAACGTGCCGCGCGACCCTGTCCTCCAGAATACAGCCGCCAACGACATCTTCCCGAACGTGGTCACCGTTCTCAAGAGGACCGCCTGGGACTACGACAAGGTGGCCCTGGCCCTGCAGAAGGGCAAATACCGCAAGGAGTTCGATGGCGCGCAGGAGTTCAACCACGGCAAGCACCAGGACAAGCTGCAGCAGTTGCTCGGGGCACGCGCAGCGGACGAACACGGGGAGCTCAACGTGCACATCATGAAGGAGGCAGCCAACCCCCTCTTCGAGCGCCAGAAGCCCAAGCTCGAACTACACTACCAGCTCATGAAGGAACGCCTGCGGCTACTCCAGGCGCGTCCCAAGCTCAGCGAGGAGCACATCGGGACCGACCCCAACTACGAGACCGAGTACCAGATCGAGGTCCTCGCACGTCTCCTCGAGAAGCAGACACGCCAACACGAAGCACGACGACAACACCCGCGAGCACTCGAAGGGGTCACCAAGCGGCTCAAGTACCTCAAGAAGAGTGCTTCAGTGACAGACTGGCCATTGCCCGCAGAGAACTTCCAGATGACCTTCCAGCCCACCTACATCCCCAAGCAGAAGCCGAAGCCGACTGGTGTGGGCTACGATGACGAGCTCGCTGAGGCACCCCTCGCGCTGGAGGGCTTCGAGTCAGTCCTCAACCACGCGTACCGCGTCGGCTTCGCCCCACTCCATGCCCACCGCAGCCAGAGCCGCACCCTCGACAAGAAGAGCGGCAAGCCCAAGGTCCTCGGCCTGCGCATGCCCCACATGCCGCCCCCCCTTCTGGCGCCGCTCCTACAGGCAGCTTCAGTGCAAGTCCAAGCCGAGGCTACCTCCACCCCATGCTCACGGCTGCTGGCCCCAGTCGCTTCGCGCTGTCATACGACGCCAACAACGAGGAGGAGAAGCCTACCAAACCAAGTGCGGCCCCAGGCTGACTGCTCACGGTGACGGTCAAGCAAGGTCTGGTCTACTCTCATCAGCTCGCCTGGGACGTTTCCGCGGTCTACAGCTCGTGCCCGATGCCGCCTCAGACCAAGGTGATCAAGGCGCTCCGAGCCTGCAGGAAGCTCTACGCGGACAAGTGCACAGAGGCGGGCAAGGGACACTCGCTTAATTCGACCCTCTGCTCCGAGGACGTGGGCGCCAACACCAAGAGCATTCTCACAGAGCACGGGACGTTCGAGGACCAGTTCAGTGTGGCGACTGACCTCAACAAAGTGAAGTCCCCGAAGATCAGCAGGTGCCACGACAGCAACCAGGCGAAGATCACACTGTACGTCGAACAGGGGCCCTTGACCGACGCGGAGGCCGAGGAGGACCCCCCTGCGGAGCAGAAGCAGCCGAGCAACACCAAGGACAGCACCTTCAGAGCGCTGCCCCCCGTGGGAGCTATGGCGAAGACGGGCATACCACCAGCGGGAGTCACGGAGGACGAGCTGGCTACATGGTGGGCAGGGCTCTGACTACGAGTTCGTGAATATGGATGGCCGACACGACTACGCCTCGTTCGGCAAGGTGATCGGCGTGCGTGGCGCTGTGATCACAATGAAGGTGCCGCTCTGAGCGGCGACGGCGGGGGCCCATCCTTGCGGCCGAATGTACTGCCTTGCCCCCCAATGCCGCTCTATCTACCTCCTTCCTCCTCCTTCTCCTTCTGCTCCTCCCTCCTCCCCCCCCTCCTCCTTCTCCTCCTCCTCCCCCTCCTCCTCCTCCTCCTTCCTCCTCCCTCCTCCCTCCTTTCTCCTCTGTCCTCCCTCCTCCTTCCTCCTCCTCCTCCTCGGCCTCCTCGTCTTCCTCCTCCTCCTCCTCCCTCAGCTCCCTCCCTCCCTCCCTCCTCCTTTCCCTCCCCCTCCTCCTCCTCCTCCTACTCCTCCTCCTCATCGTCTTCCTCCTTCTCCTTCTCCTCCTCCTCCTCCTCTTTTTTTGACGTTGCGCGAACTCGAGCCGATGTGCTGTAGCGTTCTATTCCTCCTTCTGATCCTCTTCCTTCGCCTCCTCCTCCCCTTCCTCCTCCGCCCCCTCCTCCTCCTCCTTTCTCGCGTCCTCCTCCGTCCTCATCCTCCATCCTCTACCCTCCCTCCTCCTCCTCCTCCTCCTGGTGTTGCGTTGTTTGCGCAGTGGGCGTTTGCGTTCAGTTCTGGCCCCGGAGACCATCACATCGATCCATCCCGAAGAATGCCGCGGGAAGACGGGGTCTGGGTCCCTTGCCGTGTTTTTTTTTTCCGCGATGTGGCATATCACAGCGTCACATCTCAGGGGCACCTGCGTAAGGGCGACCCTTCGCTGGATTGACCTCTGGTGCGAGCCCACTGGGGTCCCTCAGTCGCCGAGTGTGTTCGCTTGTGGCGGCCTGCGCGCGCTTGGGTCTGGTGGAGGAGGAGGAGGCGGAGGTGGAGGCGGAGGAGCAGGAGGAGGAGGAGGAGGAGGAGGAGGAGGAGGAGGAGGAGGAGGAGGTGGAGGAGGAGAGGAGGAGGAGGAGGAGGAGGAGGTGGTGGCGGAGGAGAGGAGGAGAGGAGGGAGGAGGAGGAGGAGGAGGAGGAGGAGTGAGGAGGAGGAAGGAGGAGGAGGAGGAGAGGAGGAGGAGGAGGAGGAGGAGGAGGAGGAGGGAGGAGAGGAGGGAGGAGGGAGGAGGAGAGGAAAGGGAGGAGGAGGAGGAGGAGGAGGAGGAGGAGGAGGAGGAGGAAAGGAGTGGAGGTGAGGAGGAGGAGGAGGAGGGGAGCGGAGGAGGCGGAGGCGGAGCGGAGGAGGAGGAGGAGGAGGAGGAGGAGGAGGAGGAGGAGGGGAGGAGGAGGAGGAGGAGGAGGAGGAGAAGGAGGAGGAGGAGGAGGAGGACGAGGAGGAGGAGGAGGAGGGGAGGAGGGGAGGAGGAGGAGGAGGGAGGGGAGGAGAGGTAGGAGGAGGAGGAGGAGGAGGAGGAGGAGGAGGAGGAGGAGGAGGAGGAGGAGGGGAGGGCGGAGGAGGAGGAGGGGAGGAGAGGAGGAGGGAGGAGGGGGGAGGTGGGGAGGAGGAGGTAGAGGAGGAGGAGGCGGAGGTGGAGGGGAAGAGGCGGTGTAGGCCGAGGAGCGGAGAGGAGGAGGCGGAGGCGGGGAGCGGAGTAGGAGATGAGGAGGAGGAGGAGGAGGAGGAGGAGCGAGGAGGTGGAGGAGGAGGAGGAGGAGGAGGTAAGAGGAGGAGGGGGGGGAGGAGGAGGAGGAGGAGGAGGGAGGAGAGGAGGAGGAGGAGGAGGAGGAGGAGGAGGAGGAGGAGGAGGAGGAGGAGGAGGAGGAGGAGGAGGAGGAGGAGGAGGAGGAGGGGACGGAGTAGGAGGAGGAGGAGGAGGAGGGGAGGTAGGAGGAGGAGGAGGAGGAGGAGGAGGAGGAGGAGGAGGAGGAGGAGGAGGAGGAGGAGGGGAGGAGGAGTGAGGAGGCGGAGGGAGGAGGAGGCGAGGAGGACGGAAGGATGAGGAGGAGGAGGCGGAGGTGGAGGCGGGGGAGGCGGAGGAGGCCGAGGAGGCGGAGGAGGAGGAGGCGGAGGCGGAGGAGGAGGAGGGGGAGGAGCCTAGGAGGCCCCCATTGGAGCCTCTGGGGGCTGGGAGCCTCCGGAGGGGCCCCCATCCGCGGCGGCGGCGGCGCCGCGCCTTCGGCGCAGCATCGCTCGCCCTCGGTTGAGGTCCCGGCGGAGGGCCGGCGGCGGAAGGTCGGCGGAGGGTCGGCGCAGCAGATCGGGCGGGTGGTAACCCAGACCCCCTCGCGTTTTGAAAATATCCCGACGGGAGGTTTTTCGCTATTTTCGGCCTCCGGGTCAACAGATGGACTCGGGATGGGAAAGTGGTCCCGGGGAATGGGTCGAAACTTCTGGGGGTCGACGTCTTGAAAAAGCATGACGTCGGGGATCTGGGAATGGGGGGTGACCTGAAGGAGGGGTGAAGAATAGGGCCCTAAATGGGGCACTTGAGG